AAATGCCTGCTGTCGCTAGACTTGAGGCCAGCAGCAATGAGCTTTGCAAACCTGAAGAGGCCCACGCTAGTGTTCAATGGAAGCAGTGGCAGCGTTCCTGCTTTCTCATTCATCCCAGGGGAACGTTTTAATTAGGTTCTGACGTTTCAGAAAATTGGCAAAGTAATAAAGCAGATTGCCAGCCACTTCGTAATAACGCTAAACAAAGTATATTTTAGAAATGTACAGTGATATGCTGCCCTGATCAAAACTGACTTCTAGGCTCAAATCTGACAAAAAATTGTGTAAGTATTACCCATCTTCCCAGGGCGGCTGAGTGATTGGTGAGGAAAAACCCATAGTGGAAGAAAAAAATTACATGTATATATTCTTGTCCAAGTATAGAGGTAAGTACCTAGATAACTTGGAAATCTGTTTGTCAAAATCCCTGCCTAATGTCACTCTTCTAGGATCCTGACTAGGCAGAATCCCTAAGACACTGGAAAAACTCAAGCATTATCATCTCTTCAAAGGCAGGAATGAACTTTGGCAGCCCTGCATACCAAACAAGGGCTTGTGCAGGAGTGTGGACAGGCTAAGGCTTTAGCACCCAAAGCTGGAATTAGTGTGCTCAAAACTACAATTCAAATGCTGTGTCCCTATAAGTCCTAGTACTCAGGAGGTGTAGCTGCAGACCCACTGCAGGTTTGAGGCAGCTTTGGGGTCCATGCCAGCCAAGGCTACATTGTGTAATTCTGCCCCCCCTAAAATAAATAAAACATTGACTTTTTTTTTTTTGAATGAAAAAATAAGTTTATTCAAACATCCCAGTAAGAGTTTTTCACCTCACAGAAGTTTTTAATAATGAAAAATATTTCACTTTGTACTATGAAATTGATATAATTAGATAAATTAGGTGATGATACTATTTTACTAGCAATTGTACTGCGTCAAATATGACCAAGTCAGAGTGAGTAGCATCTGAAAATCTATACTGCTATATATGAAATTGGACTCATTGTAGGATTACAAGTGTGGTTTATTACTAGCAAGTACATGGGGCTATTTGCCATATTAAATAGATTTTAAAAAGTGATAGATTAAAGGTGATTGTGTTCCTGCTTTTTAAGGAAAGGAAGTAATAGTGTCTATTAAAAACAAAGAGATATAACCAAAGGCGGCATCCTCTATTGTCGGGGGAACACTTTAAGTTGGGATTAAGGCTAGGACATGTCATTATTACGTCTTTTTGACATTGTACTTTACTGTTACCATGGTCCAAGATTCAAAAGAGGAAACAAAATAGCCATTATTTGTGCATGGATGTTATTGTCTACTCAGAATATTCCAAGGAAAAGGCATGAGGATTGTTCTTCTGTGATAGAAAAGTGGTTTTGTGGTTGCTGTGACGTTATTGTCTCTGACATGGTCCCTTACAGGTGTACCCTAAAACTATTTCCCAGCAATAGGAGAAAATTTTGTTCCTTGTCCCAACTCCTGAGATGTTTGTAATTTCCTAGGTGATAGCTTATTCTGAGATGATTCTTGCCAGGAGGAACCAACCATATGATTAGAAGGTAGAGCTTCCAACACTAATACCCAGTATCCTCTACCCCCTGACATGGGGGTATGTGCTGAGGGATATTGATATCAATAGCCAGTAATGTAATCATCACTTAGATCACATAAGAAAGCTGCCATAAAAACCTAAAGGGCATGGAGTGACTCAATTCTATCATCTCACCACTTGGAAGGTTGAATGAAGTAGAACGGTTTCAAATTCCAGGCTCCATAGAGAGACCCTATTCAGATATGCAAATCATTAAGAAAGAGAGGGGGAGGGAGACAGAGAGAGGAAGGGAGGAAGAAAAAGGAAAGAAAAGAAAGAAGAAAGGCAAATCATACACACACCACTCACACAGCAGTTAAGAACTTCCTGGTAGATGAGTACCCAAAGAGGGTCTCCGAGTTCTGCCCTTAGCACATTGGCTTGATCATCAGTCTGTTCAACTGTGTCCTTTTATTGTAAGTAACAAGCTAGCAGGCATGTCTCCTTGGGCCCTGCTGTAACACATTAATGAAATTAAAGTTAAGAGCTTCAGTTTTCAGTCAGGGACATCATGGGGCATCTGAAGTGTGGCTCAGTCCTGAATCTGTGGAATCAGACCCTATGTCCAGGTAGGTAGTGTTGGAAATCATTCCTAAGACCTGTTTAGGTATTACTTAGGGAAACACGCCCCTCACATACCCTATACACACACTGTCAAGGTGATTGGCATGTAAGGGAAAAGCTTTTTTTCCTCTCAAAGTCATACTTTCATTTTTCTGTCAAAACCAGTCTAAAGGCCACTCCTCCCCAACCTCAGCCAGTGAAAAAGTAATGAGGGAATTATGGGAAAGACGCTGGGGTCTCTCTGACCTGGAGATCAACTGGTCATGCCCTTATTGTGATGCCATGAAATTCTGGTCTCCTGGGGCATACGTACAGGTGTCTGGGGGTGAAAAGAGCATGACTTGAGGGGGTTGGGGAGTCTTTAGTAGCTCAACAATTGGTTGCTAAGACTATAATCCAGCATCAGGAAAAGTCAGGGCCACTGACAATTGGAAATACTTGCATGGAGCACAGAAACCTTTTGCCTGGATTAAGACCAGATGGGTACTAGGCTGACCCCTTCAGCTGTTCACCTTGATAATTAAATCTCACACCTGTGATAAAAATGAGTTCAAGACAGCTATAGGTAGAGTACATTTACTGCTGTGAACACAAATGCTTAGTGTCAAGAGGCATCAAATGGCAGGCATTTTTAGTTTGGAAGAATAGCTAAAGGGCAATTTTTAGTTATTAACTGTCACCGGGCTGATTTAAAAGTTACTTTATTTGCATGTGTATGGTATACACACACATTTGTGCTCCCATGTGGCTCCCATGTGTGCAAGCACACATGGGCATGCATGTAGAGGCTCAAAGCTGACCTCAGGTGGCTCTAAACCACTCTTGACAACCCAGAGCTCATCTGTTTCTACTACTCTGCTTAGCCAACTTGCAGGTGGACTCTCACACTCACCCAGCTTTCAGATGTGTTCTGTAGCATAAAACTCAAGTTTGTGTGACAAGGGTTTTACCCCTTTTCTCCAATCTCTCAAAAGAATTTACTTTTTTTTTTTTATTTTTTCTAGACAGGGTTTCTCGATGTAGACATGTCACACTCCAACTCAAGAGATCCACCTGCCTCTACCTCCAGAGTAGAGTACCAGGATTAAAGGTGTGCGCCACCACTTATTGGCTAGAATGCACACTAAAAAGCTTTTTGTAAAAAGCTATATGTATGTTTTGTTTCTAAATAGTCTCTTTAATAGAATGCTCCTTGAACAATACAGCTGACCTCAGTCCTGCGACAAACTTCTTGTAAAATTATCCCCTGTGGTCTGGCGTCATAGAAAGCAGTTTCTATGAAGAGACCGAAGTCCCGCCTTAGCTACTAAGTGAATGTGGGTAGATCTTTTCATTTTGAGAGCTCTGTCAGAAGTTGGGGAGGACCAGTGTGACAAGACAGTGCAGAGGTTCTTCTATCTTGTATTTTTGCTGAGACTGATTCAGATTTAACTAGAATTTGATTTCCTTAATGGAGACTCCCATGACAAATTATTGAACTATTTTAGGCACTATTCTAGGTCCTTGCTAACTTGTGTAAACAGCCTGTTTGTGCAGAACCCTTAGCTTCTGTCAAACTTGCTTACTCTAATCCACCACCGCCCGACTACTGGTGCTGATCGAGATGCCAGGACATGGTTTCTGCCTTCAAAACCTCACTTGAGGGTATACCTGGGTATAGTCTCAGCCTGGTGGAATAAAGACTTTCAGTTGGTTATAAACTGTGTCGGAGTGGAGGATTCCCTGGAACACCAGTACTGAAAGAATCTATGAAACTGAAAACCAAGCATTTGAATTCAGTAATAACAGTCATGAACCAAGGTAGCTTCCAGTGAGTTGTAAGGTATTCTGTGCTACCATGCACAGAATGGATTTGCTTTACCTGCATAGAAAGTGGCCTGTGCTAAACTCACTAATTACTAACTTGCAAAACCACTTAAGGAAACAAAGTGACCTAAATCTACACAATTTACAGGGGTTCTATTTTCCAGCTTTCCTGAGGATTGACCTATATTAATTGCCAACACCACACCTAGTTGTGGTGGCAGATGCCCAGGGAACACATACAGGTATTGTTGCTCTCATTCTGGGCATCAAGAATGGCACTCATGAGGGAAACATGGGAGACTCCTTGAGTCTTACGCTGGGGCAGGTGAAGGCCTTGACCTACTCACCAGATGTTCAGTACTGTACTTGGTCTGCAGACTCAAGCATCTGTCTCTCCCTAACATTTTACCTGAGGAAGAAATAATGGTCATGTTCCCATTCCCATCCTCATTCTATGGGCAGCAGAATGACAGGTAAAAGTGCTCTATGGACCAAGATCTGAATCCACCTCTCCGAGCTAGTGACCAGCAGTCTAGTTTAGTGACATCTAACAGAGGTAAGTTACCTGTTCAAACTAAATAAATGGCAAAATTTTGTTTTCCAGTGCCTAAGTAGGAAACCTTCAACACTGACATGCAAAATACTATTAATATTATGAGTGGTATTTGTCAACACTACCAGGGTCCAGTAATGGCCATACAAAATACACTACCCTTGGCATATCCCAATAAACACAACACAGAACCTGGTTCTGTGAAATTTCAGTTTAAATCTGTTGGTCTGCTGTTAATGCCATCATCCTATCTTCATACTAGGTCAGTCACTGCCTCACTTCTCACATACATGTGCCTGTGGTTTGCATAGTCATGCTACAAAACAGTGTTAACGATGGTTCTCAAGCCTTTGCTATTTCTGTGACTTTAGTAAAGTCTATTAAATTGAAGAACCCAAATATAAAAATGATGGGAAACAGGCTCAGCTCTACCACCTGAAATAATGTACATGATTTATAAATTACTATAAGAAAAGCTTTAGTTTTGAAAAATGTTTTATTTGAGAATTACATATTTCAATATCTTCCAAAATACTGTTTCCTAATCACTAAAAAAGAAAGCAGATTCAGTACGAAATTTAAATCATTAAATATGTTGCACTAATATATACATACAGAATGCTAAGTAATAATATTTAGCTCTGGAATGCGTACCATCTCATTAAAGGCTCAACCAGCTATGTATAAAGTTCCATGTACATGAGAGTGTGACACTTAGTTGCCTCAGCTTAGAGCTGGGGTAATTTGTCCACTGGGGTGTCAAACTTGAAGTCTGAAGGGAAGAGATCTGGAGCCCGAGGGTAGATCAATCTGTAGGACTGTCTGATTGTAACATCAGCAACACCAGCAATATCTCCAATTTCTAAAGGACAAAAAAAGACATTCCGTTGAAATCAAATTCTTACTACCAATGGGGAAAACAAAACAAAAAATAACCCCTCAATTTCACTTTTTAAAACTGATAACAAAAATATATTCTACCGGAGTCAAAGTAAATACAAATAGTGGTATTAGCAGGCCCTTAAGGTGTCTTAGTAATACTAAGAGACGTAAAGCATACAAAACAACCTAGGGTGTGGTACCGAATGACAGGTTCCTTTTGTTCCTTTTGCCAGGTAATATTGCAGGGCTGAGACAATACACCTATCATGTGCAAAACTGGGTTTATCCCCAGCATGGCATAAAGATCATCCTCAGCTACAAGAGACCTTGTCTCAAAAGCATTAAAAAAAAGGTGAAGGAAGGGCCATAAAGTACCACTCCTCCCTGAGGTGTCAGCATCAATAATGGCTGGGGGAAGAGGCCTATTACTTCAATAACCACTAGTGAGCTGCCCATGTTCCAGTAAATAAACCTTCCCTAAAAGATATAGCTTTAAATAATTCTAAATAATCACTTAAAAGCAATCTACTGTATTTTCTTCAGGTTTTTTTGTTTTGTTTTTGAGGTGCTGGGCCAGGCCCTCCGGCACACTCAGCAGATGCTCTTGGTGAATACGGCTATATCTTCCCCCACTTCCTCTTCATCAACTCCCAGCCTTGCCATGTCTCGGGCACACTTCCTAATAAAGATCCTACCTTTTTGTGTCCGCTTCTCAGCTGATGCCTGGGATGCCATGTAAATAGCTGCCGCTGCCACAGAGATAGGGCTCCTGCCAGGAACCAAGTCCAGCTCCACAGCCTTGCGGGCTATGTGTGTAGCTGCCATCTGCACTTGCTTGGGGAGGCAAAGGTTGGAGCAGAACCTGGACATGAAGTCCCCAGTTGTGATCAGATCCACACTGGTTTCCAAAGCTTTCAAAATCAATTTAAAGCAGCGGCCAATTTCTTTCTTAGAAATTCGAGATACAGCACATATTTCTAAAAGAAACAAAAAAAAAAAAAAAAAAATTGAAGAAAATCAGAAGCCAGAGTTCATTTTCTAATTTGTCATTTTTTTTAATTACCAAAAAAAAAAAAAAAAAGTCTAGCTGTAGATAATCAATCATAGCTTAAAGATGAGACCCTAATCCTTTCAACAGTTTTCCTATGGAGTTTATTATTTTAAATTTCTTGGTTTATATTTTCACCATACTTTAAATGCCAAGTGCACATGCACTCTTTACATGCTATCTCTAAATAGCTAAAATATTAGTCACTGCTTGAGTTGTTACAGTAGAAAAGATGTGTGATAAGTCTTCACTCTTCACTTTGACACAGGAAAATGTGAAAGATACTCATTGGATATATGGTGAATGTAGTGTCTAGCCTACACTTAGGCAGTGACAGTCAGTGTGCATATCATAACATTGGGAGTAGGCTGTCATGTGTTCCTGAATAAACACAAGCTTGACACAAAACCCAGCAATGATCTCAAAACTACTATTAGACCTCAAAAAAGGGAGGGGAAGGAAGGAAGGAAGGAGAAAGAGAAAAGAAATTACACTGAGACCTTCCTTCCAAGACTTGACTCCACATACTAGACTAGCCAGTTGCAGGTAGTCATGGTGCTGGCTATAACTTGATCAGAAGGCAACAGGAAATGGACACTGGGTGTGACTTGAGCACATATGAGACCTCAAAGCCTGCCTCCACAGTGACACACACACTTCCTCCAACAAACCCACACCTTAATAGTGCCATTCCCTCTGGGATCATTTTCTTTCAAAATACCACATTCTACTCCCTGACCCCCAAAAGCTTCTAGTCATATCATAATACAAAAATGTATTCAGTCCAATTTCAAAAGTCCCCATAGTCTCAACAATGTTCAAAGTGTCTTCTGAGAGTCATGGGATATCTTAACTGTAATCCCCTGTAAAATTTAAATAAAAAAGCAGACCACATACTTCCAGCATGGATGGTACAGGATATACATTACCATTCCAAAATATAGGGACAGGAGAATAGTGAGGAAAGATTGGACCAAGGCAAGACAGAAAACTAGCTGGGTAAACTCGAAATTCTGCATCTTCACATCTGCTGCCAAAGCTCTCCAAATACCCAACTCTGTTCAGTTTTGTTGACTGAAACACACTTCTCTTTGTTCTCTTGAGCTGGTCCTACTCCCTGTTAGCAGCCTCCTTGGCAGGTAGCGCACAGCTCTGGCATGTCCAACATCGTGGGTTCTCCAAGGCAATCAGGTTGCAGTTTCACAGGCTTCCATTTAGGGACACGCCTGACACATGCTTGGCCTCAGTGGCTTTCTTTAGCTCTAGAGGCAAATTCACTCCTTTTTTCTATCCTTGACTCTAAAGCAATAACCATGTGGCCGAGTGGGCAAGGCTGCCAAGTTCTGCTAGACCATGGCTCCCTCTCATTTATGCCTTCACCAGCATTCTGGTTTTGATGGCTGCCCTGGAACTAGCACAGTAGACCAGGTTGGCTTCAGACTCAAGAGATCCACCAGCCTCTGCCTTCTGGAATTAAAGGTGTGCACCACCACACCTGGCTGTAAGCTTTTATTCCCTTTCCACAGGTTGGAAACTTGACCTCAGGGCAGACCCCACCCAGTTATCACTCCCATTTTCCCATTTCTTAATCTGTCATTTCCTGGAACACAGGACTTGGCTCCATTCCACTTCCTGGTGCTCCTGTCTCCTCAGATGGTTTTCCTTGCTCAGCTCGCTCCTTTCACTTATATATCCTCGTAAGAGTTAACACTTAGTAACCACATATTAGGCTATATTAGGCTGTTTTGAGATTTCCTCTGCCAAAGAAATTAATCTAAAACTCTTTAGTGTCAGGCAGACTCTTCTGACTACAGCAAAAATCAGCCACATTCTTCAACAAAATATCACAAGAACAATCTCTAGGCCACAGACTAACCTTCTTCCTCTCTGAAACCTCTTGAGCCAGACCCCAAAAGCTGAAATCAACTCAGTGCCAGTCTTCCATGCTCCTACTAGGATAGCCCATTAAACAACACCTAAAGCATTCAAATGCTTTTCTAATCTATAATCCCAAAGTCTATGTTTCTGAAACAGGCCTTTCACAGCAATATCCCACTCTCTGGTACCAACTTCTCTTAGGATTTCTATTGTTGTAAAGAGACACCATGACCATGCAACTCTTACAAAGAAAAGCATTTAATTGGGATGGCAGATTACAGTTTCAGAAGTTTAATCCATTATCATCATGGTACATTATGGTGGCACTGTGATGGCTACATCTCGATTAGAAGGCAACAGGAAGTGAACTGAGATACTGGGTGTATCTTGAGCATATGAGACCTCAAAGCCTGCCTCCAGAACGACACACTTCCTCCAACAAGGCTGCAAACACTCCAACAAACACACACTTCCTAACACTGCCACTTCCTTTGGTGACAATTTCCTTTCAAAACACCACAGTTGTGAACATGGATTACTACAAGCTATGCTAAAGACAAGCACTATCTGTTAAATGCACTCTAGATGGTTCATTTGAAGACTTACCTTTAAATGTCCTCGGAACGCCTTCTTGTCTACAGGCAATATACAGACAAGCAGAAGCTATTGCATCATTAGCTCTTCCCTTCAGGCTCTTCTGCTCATACACTTGCTTGAATAAATTATTTGTTCGATCCTTCAAAGCAGAGAAACTATGTTTAATTAAATATAGGCCGTTTAATTACTTACAATATCAAAATTCAATTCATGTGTTCATTAAATTATGCAAAGTAAATGTCAGAATGGTTTAAAGCAGATGGACAAGAACTTACAACTATATTTCGAGGAAGGTTGATTCTGTCTGCCATGGTTGTGATTTCCTTGAAGGCATTCATCATTGCTCTATCGGAACTACTCATTGTTCTCCGATTCTGATACTTGGAATTGCCAAACTCATCAAAACTTGCAGCTCCTGTACCCTGTAAGATTTAACCTTGCTAAACATTCTTGGAAACGCTAAGCAGACAATTTCTATGAAATTACAACTTACACAATCTGATTATGTATGTCCAGTGGAGCCTGTACCTCAAACAGAAACTTCCAGGTGAAGAAACTTTAAAGAAGTCTGTTTCACAGACACAAGTAAATCTAAAGAACTGTTGCAGAACACAAAAAATGGAAATCGAAAGCCCAGTTCAATTTATAGATGAGACAAAATATAAATGTCAGAAAACAGAATGCAAAAGCATATTTACTATAGATACAAGATCCAGTGAAAACCAATCAAATACATGACAGACACCTATTAGAGAATGCAATAGTTAATATGAAATGTCATAGTTACGAGTCTAATAAAAATCACATGATCTCTAAATGTAGCATAAGTGAACAAAGGACTCAACTCATATTAGACATGGGCACTTCTGTGAGTATAAAAACCATTCTTGCAGGCCTAAAGCAAGCATTCTGGTTAGTGGGAAAGGCTTCAACTGCACTCAGTAAAATGCTTGTTAATTGATGGTAAAGGTCAAACTCATGACAGGGATACATACTAAAGGCACCATGCTGTAACATGGCATTTCAAAAGCCAGAAAAGAAGTTTAACTGAAGCACTGTGAAGGAGACCACCAGCTATTTGGGGGCACTATGTCTGAGTCCAAAGTTCCCAACAAAAACATTTTAAAAAATGTTACTGCTATTAACACCAAGAGAATATGTTACAGCAAAAGCACTGATGAGATCTGAAGCCTCATACATACAATTCCTCTACCCCAGTGACTATAGGAATAGAACTATATGTATGTAAATTCCTGCATTTAGTTTCTCAAAAGAAGCTTGAGGTAGAGAATATGCTGGTGCATGTTTTTAATCCCAGTACTCAGGAGGTAGACACAAGCCAGATCTCTGAGTTCAAGACTGACCTGGTGAGTTCCAGGACAGCCAGGGATACCCAGGAAAACCATGTCTTGAAAAACAACTAAAATAGACTTAAGACTGATATCTTCCTGTCTACTCAGCCTGTGTATTTCCCATGTAGTCAACTTGTATAGCCTAAACTAATGCATAGCTGTGATCTTAAATTATGACTCTTCCGCCAGACAGTGGTGGCACAACACCTTTAATCCCAGCAGTCAGGAGGCAGAGGCAGGTGGATCTCTTTGAGTTCCAGGACAGCATGCTCTACAAATCCAGTTCTAGGACAGCCAGGGCTACATAGAGAAACCCTGAATCAAAACAAATAAAACGAAACAAACAAAAAATTATGACCCTTCATGCCCCTTACTCAGATTACAATGTATGTCTGTTTGTATGTGTGTTATGACAATAATTTGCTGAAAACAGCAGATCCAGGTTGAAAGCAGTGGTACAAAAGTAGAATCTGTAAGTGATAAGCAACAGCAGACAGATATACTTGATTAGAGGGCATCAGATTCCCCTGGAATTGGTTACGATGGTTGTAAACCACCACTTGGGAACTAGGAACCGAAACCAAGTCCTCCACAAGAGCACCAATTGCCCCTAATTTCTGATCTATCTCTCCAGCCCCAATAATTTTTTAATAATTTTTTATTAGAATGACCTTTTTAAAGTCATTATGCAGAGCATGTAGGCACATGCCTCTAAATACTAGCATTTGGGAGGCAGCAGTAGGTGAATATGTTAATTCAAAGCTAGCCTAGTCTACATAACCAGTTATAGGCTAACCAGAGCCTCAATAACCCTGCCTCAATAAACAGATTGTGCAGTAGTAAAGTTTTAAAGTAGCTAACACTTCCTTGATTAGCCTTTTGGGGACAGTCATGAGCAGTGACCAGCAGTGTAGCCTAGGGGAGACTTTCCATGCTGGCCTGCTGCCTGCAGGTGGTGTGAAAAGTGCAAGGATGCAGTTGTGTGAGCTGGTGCCTATGGTGGGATGTGACCTTTGGTAGACTCATTACTTAGGTCTATCACTGGTTGCAAATCTGGGGGAAACAGATGGTATTGCATCTCCCCAGGAAAAAAAAAAAAGGTTTACAAAACAACTATAAAGAATATAATTTTGTTTTTGTAACTGTATGTATATGGATGTGTGCCTATTAACCAGTGCATGACTGTTGCCAGTAGAAGCCAGAAGGATCCCTGGAACTGGAGTTACAGTTTGTGAGCCACATTGGATGGTGGGAATTAAACCTAAGTAAGTCTTCCAGAAGAGAAGCCAATGCTCTTAATCCCAGCCCAAGATTATTATATTGATTCCATGTTCTTCCCTCCATGATGGAAAACAAAAAACAAAAAACAAAACAAAAAAAAAAAAAAAAAAAAACCCAAATTGGTAGACTTCCACAATGGTAACACTGGTAAATCTTATTCCCAAGAGTCTTCTTTGGGTTAGTGACTGACAATTGAAAAAATCCTAACTTTCTAGGTCTTTATCTCATCTCCCTTGGCATTTCCTGCTAAGTGGATTAATTACCTTGCCAATCATGGTGGACAAATCTCCATCACTCAGAAGAGGATTCTGAGAATCTCCAACTCGAGATGGGTCTTTTGTCGCTTTATCATTGCTGAAAGTTCTCCACTCAGATCCCACATCGATAACCCGGTCCCCTAAGAAGGTAAACACAGTTATCACTTAACCAGGAACAGGACTGACCTCCCCATGCTGGCTAATATTTAGTATCTGGGCTTCAGCTTAGATAGCGTGCCTTACATGTCTGCTCTGAAGCATTTTCCAGTAATGAACTGTAAATAGTATGCTATCATTATTAATATCCCAACTCTTACAAGAAAATATTGGTTAAAAATAACAAAAAGACACACGGAGGCAGGCAGGCGAATCTCTGTGAGGTCGAGGCCGGCCTGATCTACAGAGTGAGTTCCAGGATAGGCTCCAAAGCAATAAAGAGAAACCCTGTCTAGGAAGCAAACATACAAACCCAAAAGAAAAGGTTGGTGTGGTAGTATGTCACTCTAATCCTAGCATTTGGGATGCAAAGGCATAAAAGAGAAATCAAGGCTATACTGACTACATATACATAGCAAGACCTTGCCTCAAAGATCAAAGCAAAATAATAAAACTATGCTTATGTGATACAAAGAAAAACAATGAAGCCAGATGTGGTGAAGCAAGCCTCTTAGCACACACATGCAAACACACACACAAACAGAGAGAGAGAAAGAGGGGAATGAGAGAGAGAGAGATTCATATTAAAATTTTCAAAGGCAGACTGGCATACTCTTCAAGTACAGAGGCTGTAGCTAGGAATGTGATATCAGAACACCTGATCTGAATAGACTGGCCATTGCTTTAGTGGGTCAAGCTCAATGTCTGGAAATATCTTCGAAGCAGACAGAGATAGCATTCAATACTGAAACACACAGTGAACAGTGAGCCCACTGTATATGTTATCATTTAATCCCCAGAACTATATAAACACAGGTACCACTTTCACTCACAAATGATATTAATTGGCCAAAGATCACACAGCTACAAGGGAAATGTGTATCAGCTTCCAACCTACTCCACTAAACTCTTTCAACAAATTGAGTCACAGGGCAGTAAAGGCCACCATGTTTATCTTTGCTAGGCAACTACAATGAGTTTCAGTCTGGAGAATTAAAGAATACAATGGTTACAATATGAGATCAACCTGCTGCTTAGCTTTGGAAAAATTTTTTAATTAAGAACATTTACATGGAGGGCTGAGGAGATAGTTCAATAATTAAGAGCACATGCCATTTCCCCAGAGGATCCGAATTTGGTTATCAACCAACCCACATCAGATGGTTCACAACCACCTGAAGCCTGTCTCCATGGGAACTCTACTCCCATGGACACATCCACACATAGACACAGACATCTACAAATAATTTATAATTCAAAATAAAAATCTTCATTTTTAATCACATTTACTTATTCTGTGTGTTGGGGGTGCATGCACAATACATGTGTAGAGATCAGAGGACAATTCTCTTCTTGGGCCATGAAGGGTCAGTATGTCAGGCCTGGTGGGAAGCACTCTTATTCTGAGCCATCTTGATGGCCCCAATCATTTCACTGTAAATGTCCATGTATAATGCATGTAAAGTTCTTTAAAAGCACCTATAAGTCCTCAATGTCTATTTACTGCTATGAAAACTAAAACACTGGCAGATGTTCTCTGTCTCTCCATTTCCAGTGGGTGTGATAAGAGAGGCGTTCATCTGACCATTAGACTTTAAAGGACCTCAGGGTTCTGCTATTTAGTGACAAATCATGCTTTCAATGCAGATCATAGCAAATCTTTTATAGAACACATTAGTTAGAATGCATATATACAAAAGAACAATTATAATCTAAACCTAGTGATGTACTTTGAGAAAGTAGCTAAATGTATAGCAGAATGACTTGTTAATGAAGGCTTCTGATGAATTCAGTTTTCTTTTGAACTTCCAGAGAACCTGAGAGTAGCCAGGGTATTGCCTAGACAACCATACCTGGGTGAAAGAAGACCACCATGAGAGGGTGTGTCCTCACCTGCCATTTCCCTCACTGAGAACAAGCAAAGACCCCAGTAAGAAGGCATTTTCACATGCCAGCCTGACTGGCTTCCAGGGAGGATAAGGTTAAGTGAAAGTGATACCTGTGCTTTCAGAAACAATAAGGCCAACTTTCCTAGTCAGCAAGATAAAAACAAAAATAGGCACAAACATGAATCAATGTGGCCTTCAAACCAGAGTTACCAAATTTGAAAGGTTAAAAAGGTCAAATGCCATTAACTTACATAGAGTTGTATATACACAAAGCACACATAATTGTTTTCAAGTGTTCTCTGAATTACACTATCAGCCCTATCTCAGCTTTTACTTTGAGGTAGGGTCTCAGGAAATTGTGCAGGCCAGTCTGGGACTTATTCTAGCCCAGACAGGTGTTTAACTTTAATCCCGTCTCAACTTCCCTAGTAGCTGGAATTATAGTTCCGTGCCTTTAGGCCCAGCTGTTATATTTTCAAGGGACAAAAAGAATATATCAGGAGGATAGTACAGGTGAAAAGGCATGCAGGTGTGCCCACGTGCTGTAACTCTACCTGCACATTGGGAGCTAAAGCACCAGCGAGCTGAAACACTTCATTTCATAACATTTTCCCTTTGGCATCCAAGTACCTTTTACAGATTGCTTTATACTGCTTTTAAAAACACAAAATGCACTTTAAAAAAATAACAATTATAAGGTGGCATAGTATAAACAGAAAACCCAGCAATGGGCAATGAAGTAAGTTTTTCCAAGTATGTGGCATGATCTAAACATCTCACTCACTCTTATGCTAAGCCATTCCCTTTTAGACATGACTGCTCAAAATAGCATTTATAAGAATCAAATATCCAAGGCAACTCAAAGAGCATGATATGGAAGTATAACCAGTTCAAAAGTCACAAGCATGAGTAATAACAAAAGGACTATTCAGAAAAATTCTGAATAAATAAAGGATTCTCACTTAAACTCAATTGAGGCAGTATTCTAAGTTTCCCGGGAAGAAAACTGCAATTCAGAATCATTTCAAGGGGAGGATGATATAAGGTAGCCCTAATGTTCAAATACTACAATCCCTGACAAATAGGAAGCCTGTGTGTAATCAACCTAAGACAGCAAGAAGCCTACCAGTTAGCAAGAGCATGCGCACGCACGCACGCACACACACACACACACACACACACACACACTCTCACTCACTCACTCACTCACTCAAGGATTCCAGAAACAAAAACATGCCAATTTTTCTCCTCTTAAACTACACATTGATCTTGTGAAGTTAAACCAATGGGAGTTCTTTGTGAAGGCTGTGTCAGCAGCACTGACACAGACATAAACATCACTGCAACCAGCTCCATCTCTGGGGCAAGACCTTTATTCAAGATCCACATAAAAAGGAAGTCCCACCCAGCACCTGTCACTGCACTGAAGTGTATAAGCCTTAACAAAGCAAAGCATCTAAAGAGCATTTCACCATACCCTAAAGAGATACAAATTTCATCTCTCTATTTTTTGAGATACAAATGAGAATTGCCAAAATCATTCTCACTAGTTCAAAGGAGTCATCACTTTAGCACCTACCTTTTGACTTATCAATGACTGAATTTTAGAAGGTCAAAATGACTTATTTCTTTTTCAAATGTATTTTCCTTATCTTGCTTTTAATTTAAATATAAATGGCAAACATAACATGATGTTAACTGGAAGTGGAACTAATCGTTTTAAGCAATGCTAATATGAAATCTTAATTCGTAAGGCATGACATTAATTCCCTTCTCTCAGCAGTGTTGATAGTTAATGTTTAGTTAAACAGGACAGGCATTCAGGTAGGCCCTCTAGCCCCAATTTTATTGTATAATAGCTACTGTGTCACAACTGTGACTACAAGCCTAATATTTTGCTGAATAAAAAAACACACAAGCAATGCAGTAAGTCAAATTTATAAACACAGCGATGCCCTAAATGTTGTTGTACTGCAGTCTATTGTTGAAATTCTACGGTGACACTATCACATTAGAATCTAGTTGGAGGCAGGACTTACTACACAATCGTTTGACTGAACTGTTTCATGGAAGGAAGTTCTGCTTCGTTGACTTGCTTAGTCACAAAACATCTTCAGAGACACCAAAGGCTCAGATGTGCCGAAGTACTCCTCTAATCCCAATAAGGGGACTGAGCAGGCAGATCTCCAAATGGCAGGCCAGAGAGGGCTACAAGAGGATGGCTCAGGGGATCAAAGGGCTTGAAGCATAAATATGAGAACCCAAGTTCAGATTATGAGCACCCATTTAAAAACTTCAGCACAGGCATACATTTGTAAAGCAGGAACAAGGGGTGTGGGTAGAGACAAAGCAATCTGGGGCTTGTCAGCAAGTCTCGATGAATAGCAGCAAGTTCTGGACTGTCTTAATCGAGTAAGGCAGAAAATGATAAGGACATCCTCCGACCTCTGCCAGTTGACAAACACATGTATACATGTGCACACCACAACACACACAAATCAGCAATAAGACAGCAAATGCAAATCATAGCACTTCAATGTATTCTATAGTTCAAAAGAACTATATGCACTATTATGCACTGAACAGTTATGTGACTGGTTCTCATGCCAAAGTGAAATGGATTTCCGCAATCTATCTGAGTGGGTCGAAGACTTTACTCACCAATCCCAGAGCACTCTGGTCTAGACATAGCCTTTGGCCTCCTTCAAAAAATACCTGCATTCCTGATAGTCTCTTTTTAAATCAAGTATCATGTAGAAAACATGACTACTTTACAGTAGACTGCATATCTAGTTTATTGTTTTTATTAAGAAATTCTGGTGTGATTAAATAGCCCGTGTTAATTTTTTCTGACCGCTGTCTTCCTGAGTGTATTCTGAAGAGTGCTTACTATGGGCATTCAACAGTTGCAGCATCTCTACATAACAAACAATGGATGGCACTGCGACCTAATCAACAAGCTAATTACTGCACTCCACCTTAAGAGGGTGACAGGTTTGTTTTGATATGAGTACACAATAGTGATAAAATAAACACTATAAAGTGTTGCAATGTGGCAACTTGCATGCTGCTTACAGTTCTACTGAGTTCCAACTCCACAACTAAAGTTAACAGTACAACTGAGTGACAGAGCCAAGTGGTAAAAGCAAGCCTGTGGTTTCTATTGCAATTACTAAGTGGTTAAGGAGATATGAAACAAGTGAATATGGGCGTGTTCCAATAAAACTTTAAGCATTACAAAACTTACATGTGGTGGTATTCTCTTGTGTCTAAAATAGTATTATTTCAATTGTTCTCAACCACTTAAAAGTATACAAGCCACTTTTAGCATGGAAGCCATGTTAAGAGCATGTGTTAGCAGGTGCTGACATGAGAAGCAATGCATCTCAATCTCTATTATTAACTCTACATGCTTTAAAACTCTCACTGTACGCTAATCACCGGAAAAAGTCTGAGCTTCTCAAAGTGGGAACAACAAACAAAACGTCCCCAGGGTAGGTCTGAAGTAAGCAGCCTTCTTGGTTGAATGATGTTAAATAAGACAATTCTACAGCACATGCTACCACCATTTGTCACAGTTCTCCAAGCTAATAGCAATTCCATTCCTAAGTGACTCAAACTGCTCAAGGGCTGGGAATGCAGGTCAGTGACAGAGTGCTTCCTAACATGTAAGGCCCTGTGCTACACTGGCAGTACTTTAAGACAAAACAAAGTAACCAAGTAACCAATCCCTCAGTATTCCTTCCTTCTCTGCTACTGCTGAGACTCCAAGTCCCTTCTATGTATCCAGATTAATGAGCACACAGGCATAAAACTAAAATCCTATTTATTATTCTTTTTGTAGTAGTAGGAATTGAACAAAGGGGCTCTCCCAGCACTAGGCAAGCATGTTACCTCTAGCTATATTCTAAGGCCTAAAATTAAAATTTTAAGACATGGCATATTCAAATAATAACAATTTAAACTAGGATATCCTATATCTTGACATCATATGTAAGTATTAACAAATCTTTTTATTTTCCTACAAGGCATTGTATAGAGCTCAATATTATTACTTTGAAATTTAGCTTATTTATTTTAGAAAGCATACAAGTGGCACAAAAGTTGGATATTTATTAGTTATTTGAGTATCAATCCATCTCCTCTCACACATATCTTCTATTAACTATTTAAAACTAAGGATGCAAGTATTGTTGGCCTTTTCATTTTTTGTTGTTGTTATTGTTTTGTATTTCAAAGCAGGGTTTCTCTGTGTATTTCAAAGCAGGCTGTCCTGGAACTCACTCTGTAGCTCAGGTTGGCGTCGAATGCAGAGATCTGCCTGCCTCTGACTCCTGATATTTTTTTAATTATTATTTAATTTAGAAAACAATGTTTGTTATTTTATATTTCAATTCCAGTTCCCTCTCCCTCCCATCCTCCCATTCCCCCACCACCACCTCCTACCCACTCCCCAGGGATGGTGAGGCCTTCCATGGGAGATCATCAAAGTTTGTCACATCATTTGGGGGAGGGCCTAGGTGTATCTAGGCTGAAAGAGTATCCCTCCATAGGGAATGGGCTCCCAAGGACCATTTGTGCACTAGGGATAAATCTGAGTGCTGGTATTAAAGGCATGAGCCACCACAGCCCAGGGAGCCTTTTTCTTCCTTTTTGGTAAATTTCCTCCACATCCCAGCATGCAGTGGTTGCATGCACCCAATGGCGCATGGCTGGGGGCTCTTTCTATCTCTCTTCTTTTTACGTTACTGTAACTTGCTTCTGTGGGATGGGAGCTGTCAAAAGGAATTCATTAAAACTCTGGAAACTGTACAAAAGCAAAGCACTGTGGGTTATGATTTAAATTAAAACCTTAGTAGCTACTTACCTACAACTAGGCCACATTCAGGACAGATCATATCACCGGCTCTGTAGTCCTCAACTAAAATTGCATCTGGATGATTTGGACATGTGACTCTTGGGAGAGCATCCAAACTACAAGAAAAAAAAATTAATATTTTCTAACTAATATGAAACAAGTCTGAGTGTTATTGTTTTCTAGTAATAGGCAAGCTACTAAGATTTTTGAAATCCTTGATTAGTATAACAGCTTATAATCATAATAGCCAGCAGCATTTACATATAATGATCTGCTTTGTGCTCCTATTTCTCTTGTTAGAAAATAATGTTGTTTTCTACTTGTTAGCTACCTTAATGACAGATTTAGCATAGCACTCTAAAGCCAACACACATCTGAATGAAAAACAGTCAGATGTAGTCATGCAGACCTTAAGATCCGACTATTTCAGTCAGTCCAGAACTGAGGATTTTAGCTTTTACAAATTAAAATTAGTTTTGCTGGGCATGCTAGGCAGCTATAGTCCCAGCACTTGAGGCTGAAGTAGGACCCTTGAATCTGGAATTCCAAGATCAGCTCAAACAAAAGACACAAGTATCTTCACAAGTTAAAAAAACAAAATGAAAAACCTGGATAACCATACAGAAGGAAACTAGATTCCTATCTCTAATCCTACACAAACATCAAAATGGATCAGGCCTTTATGTAAGATCTGAGCTTTGGGGCTCAGTTTCCAGGTTGAGCGCTGCTTACTGCTTTTTCAATAGACCTGAGTTCAGTTCCCAGCACCCACATGGTGGTTCACAACCACCCATAAATCCAGCTCTAGGGAGTCTGATACCTTCTCCTGGCCTCTGAGGTCACTAGGCACACACTCATACACAAAAACAAACAAACAAACAAACAAAAAATCTGACACTTTGAAAGTGCTAGGAGAAACAGGTAAAAACACTTCAAGATGTGAGTATAGCAAGGACTCCCTTAAAATGTAATCCCAAGAACTGAAAAGAGTGACTGCATGAAAAAATTAAGACAGCACCTACAATGCAAAAAAAATCAGCAGAGTCAACACAGTGTACAGAATAGGAAAAAAACTCTGACCGTGACACAGGAAACAGAATTAACATCAAGAATTATATGAATGCCAAAATGCAATCAACAAATGGACTAATGAAAGACCACTCTCTAAAAATGGAAACACAAATGGCCAATAAATATTTGGCAATGTATTCAGTATCTTTAACCATTGGGGAAATGAAATCAAAACTGCCGTTTCAAAAAATCTCATTCCAGCCAGAATGGCAATTACCTGAAAAACAAATGACAGAAAACAGTATGGCAAATGTGGAAAAGAAGACTTATCACACACTGCTGATGGGAAGATAAACTGTTATAGCTGCCATGGAAATTAGAATGGGTTTTTTCTCAAAAGATAACACCATAGAGCTGGTAAGGTAGCCCAGTGTGTAAAAATGCCTGTTGCCAGGCCTGATGACTTGAGCTCAGCCAGTGAGATTCACATGGTAGAGGGAGAAAACCAACTTCCGTAGGCTGTCCTCTGACATGCTTAGGAGAAAACACAATCCCACAGGTTGTCCTGACTCACACCTTGATACTTACTCTTCCCTCCCCAAAATAAATAAATATACTAATATAATTTTTAAAGATAGAAGTATATAATAGACTATACAACTCCTGGGCAGATACCTGAAAGTTCTAAGTAAACACACCACACAGACACTTGAACACCCATATCCATCTGTAATAATGTTATGAAGTACAATCAGCTACAGTGTAAAGAAAATGTAGTATTAATAACAGCCTTAAAGAATGAAGTCATAGGAAATGAATGCAACTGGAAAGCACTAAACTGAGCAAATAAACCCAAATCAGAAAAACAAGGACAGCATGGTTCTCTCGTGTGTGGAATTTGTATTCAAGTTTACATGTGTATATACACATATGCACACATGTTACTTATGTAGGTAGTGCCTGAAAGAAAAAAAAGGAACTATAAGCAGGGAGGAAGTGACCTTAGGAAGGGAGGAAGGAGGAAGAGAGAGGGGCAGAAGGGGACACGGTCTGGGAGAAGTGAAGGAGCAAGATGGTGGAGGTTAGGGCTGACTAATAATAATGTGTTATGACACTAACAGAAGACATGAATAATGCAATCCATTACATTGCATGATAATCTAAGAAACTAATTTGACATGAAAACAATATGGCTACAAAGCTAACATATTTACTTAAGAGTTTTCCTTTGATATTTTTAAAAGACGGGTGTTGCTCTATAGTCTCGTTGGACTCAAACTCACTATACAGCCCTGGCTGGCAATCAAACTAGGAGCAATCCTCTTGCCTCAGCCCCCTGAACAGAGATCATAGGGATGTACCTCAAAGCCCAGCTCATGACCTTAACGATTTTATAATTTATTTTATCCTGAACAATAAAACAGTTTGGGGAAATCCATTAACCTTCAATGACTTGATAAAACAAGCTTTCAAAGCAACAAAGATTCTTAGTAAAAACATAAGTATTATTTCTGGAAGGTGTGAGCCCTTTTCCAAAACTCACTTGACATGTGAACAGCAAATGATTTTCTTATCATAATCATGTCATCATAAGCAACACAACAAAATTAACTGTTCTTACAATATGTAAATAGGCATTTGTGCCTTAGGATCAAGTTTCTCATGGTAGCTGGTATAATGCAGAATGTTTTAACTACTAACATTGTTTTTTGTTCATTTATTTTTAAAGATACATACATACATACGTGTGTGTGTGTGTGTGTGTGTGTGTGTGTTGTTTTATGCATGGATGTATGTGCACTGCATACATGTCTAGTGCCCAGAGATCAGAAAAGTCATCAGATCCCCTGGAAGAGTGCAGTTACCATTTGGATGCCAGGTTCTCTCCAACAGCAACAAGTGCTCTTAACACTGAGCCAGCTCTCTAGCTCCCTATTTACCAACTTTGAAATCACATGAAAAATTGATTTAAAAAAAAAATCACATAATAATCACCAACTTTACTTAATTAAAACAGATCTTGCTTGGACTTTTCTAATTGGGAAAATGGGAGAGGGCAGAAATTGCTTTATACTTGTACTTATTCTGGAAATTTTTAGAAAAAATAAGTTATAAAAAATAAAAGTAGTATGTAAAAACTGAAAGGCTGCTGAAATAAAGGAAAATTTTAGTAAAACAAAGGTAGTTATCAGTAAACAAGCAGGAAGTTAATGTAGCAGTATGTTAGGGATTAACACTGTTTAATACTATTAACAAGTAGACCAAGCCAGCTGTGATGGAGCATGCCTATAACCCCAGTATTCAGGAAGCAGAGCTAGATTTGCCACTAATTCAAGGCCATCCTAATAATAAAGAGTGTTCCAGGGTAGCTCAGACTATAGTCTCAAAAAGCAAAAATAAAAAATAAAAAACACCAACAACCAGTAAATGTTGGTAAAGAGCTGGGATTGTAGCTTAGTGGGAGAGTACTTGCCTAGTATAAACAAGGTCCTAGGGTCAATCCCTAGCACTTAAAAAAGGGAAACAGAAAGGTTTGCAGTGTATTTAAATGATAATGGAGTTATTTAAGCGTTCTGCTTTCATGTTTGTCTGTGAAGCATGTGTATGGCCTGGGATGGGCAGAGATAGGAAGAGGGCAACACAGTCCCTGGAACCCGAGTAAGAAGAGTTTGTGAGCTGCCATGTGGGTGCTGGAAACTGAACCCAGGTCCTCTGGAGCAGCAACCAGTGCTCTCAACCCTGGAGCCATCTCTCCAGTCCCTTCTATATCTTCAATGATCAATTTGCACAACATTCTGCAAAATAGGCACTCTGCATCTCACAGACCATGATCAGGAAATTATCTACCTGAATGAGAATAAGTTACCGGCTTCAATCTAAACACGTATTATCTCTGAAAACACCAACTAGTTTCAAGGCTAAGTGACTATACACGATCCCCAAGGACAAACACTGAGACAGAAATCTGACACTGACTTTCCTTTATTCCCACTGATAGAAAAATCTGAGAGCAGTAACAGGAATGACACAAATTTAAAAGCTGGATGATGGGCTGGGCATAGCTGTAATTCCACCATTTTCCAGCTGGTGATGGAATTCTAGGCCAGGAACTCAAAATGAAAACTGACTACAGTCCAGGAAAAAATAAATTCCAAGGAATTTTTCGAATGACAAAAACAGTTGAAAAATTGTAACTAGCAACTTTACTATGTGTAGTATTTAACAACTAGTGTTTCGAGAATACAGAAGTTCCTATTCCATTTGATGATAAGCTGTACCTACATATGACCATAGACAGCTTCCACATCGACAGCCCTGGGAAAATTTCAGTATTGGATAAATTGGGGAAGCTGTTTCCATGTCCCTACAAGGAAGCCTTACCTGACAAAACCACACCCAGATGGAATTATTAAATCATAATTAAATCAAATTTAAAAATAAATTAGAATTAGTGTGCAAGAGTAACAATGGCTTTACTTCCACACAAACAGTTGAAGCTGCTCCCCATACCCACCTCTTGCTTTTTATAATAAAAGTCTTTGGGGTTACCAGGAAGGGCCTGCGCTTCTGTGAATAATGACTTCCAGTGGTGACGTTTATCAATTCCACACATAGTAACCCACCCACAGGGGGGGAAAATGTGCCAGATTGCAGAACTTAATTTGATACTTTTAATATACTCTGTACTAACCAGAGGCAAATGGAATGACCGTCAGAAACAGGTACCCTAGGCACTCGAAAGGTCAACACACTGGCATGACTCAGTTTACACATATGCTAGGATACTAATACCTACCTCACAGTGGTTACTAGAGATATAATTAGGGTCTGCAAAGCACTTTGCAGGTCACAAGATTAAAGGCTGTCTCTGAGGACACACAACATGCATTTCCTGTGGATATTAAACACGCTACGTTTAAAAGAAAAAAAAATACACTAAAAATGACTTCCAGCATATGTAATTAGTTTCCTGCAGACAACACGCCCTTCGCAGTACGCAGTGACACTTTCGGGGGTGGGGGGCTCCGGGAGAGAGTGATCCCGGCGTCCGTGTGTGCCTCCCCCTCCACCCCGGGGGCCCCAGGGCTGGAGACCCGCTTCCACCAGGCTAACCAACGCTGACGCCTCCCAACTCTCTAGCTGTCAGATCGGCAGGGGCGGAGGACGTCCCCGGCTCTCGGGCAGCAGGCGATGCCACAGACCCTCACACGGGGCGGGGGAGACACAGAAAACACAACCACGACACAAAGACGGTTGCGGGGTCGGGGCAGGGGCGGAGGCCGGGGCGGCGCAGACCCGCGGGATCGCCCCGGACGGCGGCGACTCGGGCGAGCAGGGGCCGCCAGCGGCAGGCGCCTGGAGGAGCCTCGGCCCCGCCGCCCCGGCTCCGCTGGCTCCGAGGCCGCCGCACTCACCGGCTGGTCGACGCCATCTTCGCGGCTCCGCCAACAGCTCCGTCCGAAGCAGGAAGCGACACTGGCGGCCGGACGCCCCGAGCCGGGCTTTTATGCGCGAGGCGCCCGCGCGCACTCTGCGCGGCTACGGGTCGGCAGGACGGCCAAAAAGCATGCAACTCCTCGGTGACGCCGGCGGAACGCTTCCTGGTTTCGGCTGAGTGACTGTCAGCCGCAGTTCAGAGCGACCGCCGGCTGAAGCCGGCGCGGTAGCAGCGTACAGCACGGCGTAAATCCCAGCACGCAGGGGGCAGAGGCTGCAGGATCTCTGTGAGTTTGGGGGCAGCCTGGGCTACAGAGCGAGCTCCAGGACAGCCAGGACGAGAGAGAGAGGCTGTGTCACAAACTAAACAACTGACCCAGGAAGAGTCTGGGAGAATTGAGCAACTGAGAGTCAGTTCTCAAACAGACCGAATTAAAATATGAAGGATTTGCCTTGTGGGCACTCTCCTGCAGTCCCGGTGATAAGACGATCAGAGTTAGACCCAGTCTCAAATATGTATGTATGTATGTATATATATATATATGTATGTATATATAAATATATATATTCAATCCACAAAGGAAACCAAGCTGATTGAAAGCCCTCACCTCAAACCACTCCTTTACTTTCAAGTCAATTCTCCCCCCCCACCCCCCCACCCCGTCTGAATGAATTCTCATTTGCCCCGAGTAAAGAATTTGGAATAAAAAGAAATTACCTTTGGTCTTAAGGACTAATTCAAGTTCTGTCATCTATCTATAAGCTTCGAATTCCTACAGGCCCTTTACCTCAACAGTGTAGGGATAGAGTGTATTTGCCTCGAAAACACGTCTGTAATTGACAAGAGATGAGATGGAGCCCGGTGACAGCAGTATTTGTTGTGAAGGAAGCAGAGTCTGGCCCTGTCATGATCCATGTAGCCTGTCTTTCCCCCATCATCCTCAGACATGGGACTGAAAGCTAAAAATAGAAAACGTAGTAGAACAGCTAAAGACTGTACAAGGGCCTAGATTTATTAACCAGTTAAACTAGAAAATAATAAGGCAGGTCTTGTGGTTCATCCTTGTAATCCTAGCACTTAGGAGGCAGAGGCTGGAGGCACAGAGGTCGAGACCATCATGGGCTGCTGAGAGAGAGCCTGCCGCAGTTTCTGCCCCCTTGTCTTAACAAAGGAAATAATGCTGCTTTCTTGTGAATGAACCATCCTCACAAAAGTCGGAATTAAAGTAACGTAAGAGAAGCATCTTCCACTGGGATGAAAACTGAGATACTGGTATTAGTAAACACTTCATTTGTTGATGGGAATCAAATGTCACTGAGCAGTCACTGTTTCCTTGAACAGGACAGAAGCTACTTGCTGGGAATGTAGATCAGTTGGCAGCCTGCTCGGCAGAGTGCATGAAGGCATGGGTTCAATTCCCAGCACTGAAGAAAAGAACAGGTGTGAGGGTACAAATCTGAAATGTCACCACTTGGAAGATGGAGACAAGGAGTTCAAGGTCATCCTTGGATACATAATGGGTTTGAGGCTAGCCTGGGTCACAGGAAAGCCTGTCTGTTGAAAGCACTCTGTACCGGGAGTACTTTGTTCCAGGAGACTCTGTTTTAAGCACAGCCTTTGACTCCATTTTGAGGGCGGATTATGACTACAGCACCTGATTTATTTCCACACTGTGAGAATGGATTGAATAACAATACATTAGCAAGGCTCAGTGAGTTCAATGGTGGCGGTCTGTCATATAAGCCACCTGGTTTAGAAATCTGGCTGAGCCAAGGCAGGTTCTCCGATTCCAACCCTAATTGCTGATGTTAGCTCTCCCGTGACACAGCACGTGCTACTTGCGCCTTTGTATCTAGATGCACTTATGAGGAGGCTTCCAGAATAACACAAGTTAAAGTTGCCGCAACAGAGCTCCAAGGGCATTGGAAGCCGTTTGAGAGAGGATGTGTTGTTGATGACAAAACAGACCAGTCACCTCAAGAGGCAGAAGCTGGTGATGCTGGAGTCAGAGTTTAGGTGTGAAGCCAGAGAGTTCCAGATGTAAGGTGAAGGCTGAACTGGGGTTTGAGACTGGGAGATGGAGGGTCTGGGTCCAGAGAGGTGAAAGATTAAGAAGCTGGCAGCCCAGCAGAGGCCAGACAGCGAGCTGAGCTGAGACAGGGTGTCAGGAAGTCCTCTGCTTGTTGGTCCTCGAGCAAGTATTAGGCTGTAGGCGTCTGTCTCTTTATAGGGTCCAGGTGAGGGAGTTCCACCCTTTCCTGGGGCTAGTGTGTCTGTAAGTTCTTGGGCCTCGTTTCCATATATGATTTTAATACACCCATGTGCCCCTACAGTCTCAATTATGCCCATACTTTATACAGTAGCTCCTTTTATATTCCCAGGGGTAAGTCATTTACCATTTTGTGCTGCATGGGTAGTTTGCAGATCCACCCAAGGGCTGTAGTCATTATCCTCTGTCAAAGTGAAGTCTAAAGCTGTTTGTAAAATGGATCTCCTAGGGCAAGGCACAGCCTTGGAAAACACTGTTTTACACTATGTGGGGAAATTCTGGACAGGCCATATACACTATGGCAAAACCCTAAATGAATTAATTAATTTAAGAAAGAAGTATGAACCACACCTAAGGGCGGCTCCCCACCCACACCCATACCAGTAGACGTTAACAAAAACAAAAACAACCCAAAGGCAGTTTTAGAAGAAAGAAATATAGTGTCTCATATTGGTTGCTTTGGGCTTCTTTGTTTTTAACCTTACTGGTCTTTTGCTTGTATATTATGGTCTCCAGTTTGAGTTTTCATGTGTGTGTCGGGGGTGAGGGGAGGGGTTTCTTATAATCTTTCTTTAGTTTCTCCCCCCCCTCTTTTTTTGTTTGTTTTGTTTTATCCTTGTTTGTCATTTTTTTATTTGCCTATTTCTTCCTTGTCTTTTTGAGACATGGTCTCTCTATTATGTCCCTCCGGCTGTCCTGGAACTTACTATGTAGACTAAGCTGGCCTCAAACTCACAGAGATTCACCAGTCTCTTATATCCCAAATGCTGGGATCACAGGTGTGACCACCACACCACCAGGCTGTTTCTTTTCTTTTCTTTCTTTCTTTTTTTATTTTTTCTTTGTTGTTGTTTTGTTTTTTGAGACAGGGTTTCTCTGTGGCTTTGGAGGCTGTCCTGGAAGTAGCTCTTGTAGACCAGGCTGGTCTTGAACTCACAGAGATGCCTGCCTCTGCCTCACGAGTGCTGGGATTAAAGGTGTGCGCCACCAATGCCCAGCGATGCCATTTCTTTTCTTAAGAGAGAGAGAAGGCTTGGGATTGGAAGGCTGTCGAGGCTCTGGTAGATGAATGAGGAGAGACTGTGATCAGAGTACAGTGTAAGAATATAACTTTTGTGTAAGAGACAGGAGCATAGAAACTAAAATCTTAGTGGGGGTGGGAGGGAGCATGACTACCCCCACCTCAGTCTGTCATTGTTTAGTTCCAGATGGAAAACTTGAATATGCTCCTGTGGGATGTTTTTTTCCCCTTAAGAACTGAGAGAGCTGGCCAGGCAGTCATTCCAAGCGACTTTAATCCCAGCACTCCGGGGCAGATGTTGGCAGGTCTCTGTGAGTTTGAGGCCAGCCTGGACTATAGGATGAGTTCTAGCATAGCCAGAGCTGTTACACAGAGAAACCCTGTCTTGGAGGGGGAGGGGGGTTATGTCACAGTTTAGTGTGACGAGTGCCCCAGGGAACGGGCACCACCAGTCTGGAGACCCACAATCAGTAGTCTTTTCACGGAGAGCACCTCAGGTGGTGAATGCAAATGAAAGGCACCTGGGAGGACTTTGAGGGTTACAAGGACCCAGTGGATGCACAGTAGATAGTTACCAATGTTTGTCGAGGGAAGAAACCATTAAGGAAACTGAAACCCTAAACGGGGAAGGCAGAGCAACCTGCGATGCTTCTCTGTCCACCTTCTAGGTCTTTTATTTTATCACAACCTTGCAGGGGTTTCTTTGTTAGTGTGGCTCAAGCAATTTGTAAGGTCTTCTCATCAACATCTTCATGTTCAGATTTTATTTCTGATCTTGAGTTTAAGACCACACACACACACACACACACACATACACATACACTTGCGTTTTATCACCTAAGGATCAGTGACTTAGACCAGCTTTGACTACAGTTTCTCGTGAGAAGTAATATTTTTGTAAATTAATATGTAAGAAATCGTATTAACTTTAAAACTTTCTTGATGTTTATTCTTAATTTATTTATTTATTTATTTATTTTATTTATTTATTTTTGAGACAGGGCTTCTCTGTGTAGCTCTGTCTGTCCTGGACCTTGCTATGAAGACCAGGCTGGCCTCAAACTCACAGAGATCCTCCTGCCTCTGTGTCTCAAGTGCTAGAATTAAAGATATGCACCATTGCACCCTGTCTTATTATTTTATTGTTGAGTGAAGGTCTTATTATGTAACCCAAGATGAACCCAGTCCACAGCCCAGACTTCCCTGAGAACGATGGAGATGCTCTCGCCTCTGCCTCTTTAGTGTGGGGTTACAGTCATAAACCCACCCAGCTCTGGCATACTGTTCTCAAGGTTCATGATATGTTTCTCATACCCTCACTTTCAAAAAATGCTGATACAGAAATGTCTGTTTTGCAAGTGCTGGGATGATGGTACTGGCTAAGATGGCAACCTCACTTTAATAAGGATTGGCCAGCATTCATTACCGAATTCTGAGGCATCCTCTTTTGGATGAGGAAGAACAGACAGACAGCCACACTTCTGCCTCACGACTTCTTCTATTTGGCTTCAAGTTACTGTACCTTGGGAAATGCAGGTGGTATATTTATAGAAACTGTCTATTGGCGTTTTTCTTAATTATGAAGTGTTATTTTAGTTTAGGGAGGCAGAGGAGGAACAAAAAAAACAAAAACAAAAACAAAAAACAGAAATCACAGTAGTAACAGTAGTAGCACAAAATCATGACAGAACTTACTGCGTGCCAGGAACTATAAGCATGGAAACATTACCTCCTTAAACCTTGTCAACAGCTCTATGAACTGTTCCCTTTTATAGATGCAGCATTTGAAGTATAAAATTGTTAAGTAACTAGCCTGAAGCTGTGCCGCTTGTGATGGCAGAGCTTGGA